AATTAAGATTATAAATAAAATAATATTACACTATAGTACTGAATGTATTACTCTTATAACTAGTAACTAATCTAATAATTAAAGATGAATTGGACAGTTTCTTAAATACCTTTCTAAACCATTTATCTTATGCACCAATGATACTTTTATTTAACTTCTAAGTTTAGTTATTGTTAGTTTATAAGAACTAATTATTATCAACATTAAATCATATTTTTAAAGATTACTTTATAATACCTCAAACATGGTGTTTTTTTCTTTTATTAATATTTTATATTATTAATATATTTAATATTAATATTATTGAGATATTTTGTAATTTTAATTTTTAAAGAAAATATGAATTTAAAAAAAAACGTTTCCTATTTTATTTTATATTAATATTCAAAAATTAAGTTAGTAGTGTTGTTATTTAAACTTTCTGTTTAGTAATAGTAGTTTCAAAATGTATTCAGTGTACCAATTTAAATATGCAAAATAGATAAGTAGGGTAATTGGAAGAGAGAAAAAGGTGAAGAAGGTGACAAAAAAGATACCTAAAGATTGTATTTTGCTTGAAATGAATATAAAACAAATCAGTTTAATAAAAAAAAATGATGACAAAAACAGAAGCTGATTTGCATGCTATGTAGTTATAGCTGTGCCCAGTAAAACTAATATAGTATTTATTTATAATAAATAATAAAAGTATTTGACTAATGTGCTTGAAAAGAAACTATAATGAAGACTTATTAAACAGATTATATTACCAACATAATTTACATATAAATACTTAAATTACTTTATTGTTCTTTCTGTTTACTTAGTTTTGGGGGAGACTAATTTCAAAAAGATGGTCAGAAATTGACCTTCTTTCTTTTTAAGGTAGATACTTCATTTACACTATTTACATTGTTTGGACTGTTATCCTCATCTTTATTGTCACATTTACAATGTTTCGGTCGTTGTACGTTCTGGCCTTCTTCAGGTGACATTTGCTTGAATTTTGAACTGAACCTAGAACAGTCAATGTTTTAATCTGTATGTTGGTATTTCTGAATGTTAGCAGATTGACTATTCTGGGTTTGGTTCAAAATTCAAAGAAATATCACCTGAAGAAGTCCAGAGCATACAACAGTCGAAACGTTGTGAATATGCAAATAAAGATGAGGACAATAGTCCAAACAATGTAAACAGTGTAAATAGTTAAATACCTCATCTCAGAAATATATATATATATATATATATATATATATATATATACTTCAATTTAAAAATTATATTTAGAAAAAAAAAAAAAAAAAAAAAAAAAACAAACAGAAAATAACAATTATTCCCACTTCTTTTGTCAACATTATCTTTCATAAATTCCTAAACAATTTTAGCCCACAGTGACTTTTCTGCAAATTCACCGAACACTATTATATCCACTCGCCCATCATTTAATACTTTCATAAACTTTAAAGTCACACACACACATACATACACAAATATGCACACACAAACATTTTATAAGAGGAAAGGGTTTTATTGTAAAGCCAACTTATTTTTTTGTTGTTATTGAAATATGCAAGTAATGTTTTAGATGATGATAATAATAATATTAATAATAATAGTAATAATAATGATAATTGTTGAAATAATTGGTATATAAAAATTGAATAAATAAAATGAATGAATAAAAAGGACAAAACAATTAGACATTGAAAAATTGTTATATATAATATTCATGATAGATGACATGTCAGCAAATATTTTTATTTATATATATATATAATTTTTTTGTTTTTATTTTTTTTTTTTTTTTTGCTTTCATGTCTCATCTCGTCAGTGAATTCGGGGTAATCGTGACTTATTTTGAAAAAAAAAAAAATCTGTCTTCTTTGAGCATGGTCCATTTGTTTTTTTTTGTTTTTTTTTAATTTTTTCTTTTTTTCACTCAGAGTTTAAAAAAAATAAAAAGAAGTATTACTTTCTTGTTTTATCTATGTTTTCGGAAATTTCAGATATATCTCAGATCTAAAAATCAATCAATTTTCACCTTTGCATAGATCAAAGGTAAATAGAAGTTTGTGTATCAAAATATTAAACAAAAAAAAATAAAATAAATAAATAAAAGAAGAAAAAAAAAAAAACAAATAGAAAAAAAAAACTGCAATTTTTTTTTTCCCCCAAATGTAGCAAAAGTTTGTTGGCCCACTGTTTTTAAATTTCTTTACATATTGATGAGAAAAAAAAAAAAAAAACATTTACCTACATTCATGTTGACTATAAAATAGAAAAGTAAGTAATGTCTATTCTTTAGAGTTGTATTCATATCTATAAAATATTTTATTAAATTATTAGCTATATCTGAAAATTCCATTTCAGGACATTGAAAAAGAATCTTCAAAAAGAAATTTCATTACTATTACTATTATTACTATTAATTATTATTATCACTATCAGAATTATTTTTATACTACTATTAATAAATTTTGTTTCATTTATGCAGCAATTAATTGTATTTAAATATTTTTCATATAAATAGAATTAGAATTTTTATTTATGGTCTTTTATCATTTTTACTATTATTTAATTTATTCATTCTAAGGGCGGGGATTAAAATATTTTTCACAGTGACTATTATTTTCTAGAGCCAATATTTTTTTAATTCCCAAAAAACAAAAATAAAAAATAAGGAAACATCCATTGTCATAGAAATTCAAAATGAAAAAGTACAAATAGTTATTTTGTAACTTATAAGGGAAAAACTTTACATTAAGTTTTCAAATACTTTCCCTTAAAAAAAAAGGGGGGAAAAAAAAGAAAATATTTTGAATTTTACAAAATGAGAGAAATAAAAAGAAAAAAATATGGGCATTTCACCCATTTTTCATACATAATTTATGTATGAGTTTTTAAAATTAGTAAGAATTAAGTAAACTTCAAAATTTTCTTTTAATTCTTTTATATTTACTATTATCCTACCACTCCGTTTCAAGGAGTCATTTTTTTCTTCCAGAAAGTTTTAAAATACAAATTTTGAAAATAAAAATAAAAATAAAATATGACTAAAACAGTAAACTTTGATCAGCAGAGCTTTCTTCTTTTTTTTTCTTTTTTCTGTAGTTGCTGTTCTATATTTAAGTCAATAATTCTAATAAATGGGCCAAATATTTTGAAAAGCCAAAGACAAATAATAAGTAGTTGCAGTTTCTTCTACTTCTCTTTCTCTCTCCCACACGCACACACAAAACAGTAAATTACTACTGTCCTTTTTTCTTTTTTATTGACCTATCCCATCAATATTTTTTGAAAGGATCAATATATTTTTTCACATTCAAGTTCAGGAATACTGAACAACTGTGACCTTATAAATCAGTAATTAATTAAAAAAAAAAAAAAAAAAGAAAAAAGAAAAAAAGAAAAAAGAAAAAAAGAAAAAGAATAAATAAAAATAAAATAAATAAAAAATAAATATAAATATCTAAAAAGAATAAAGAAAATTGGAAACATAAAAAAAAGCACATGGATAGATAATTTTCTTCCATGGATTCAACTTTACTGAAGACATCCTTTTTGGAGAAAAAAAAAATCTAGAAAATTACATACATTTGTATTTGTATGTGTGTAGATTATTGAAATGTAATATTGGAAAAAACATTATTTGTTATTAAGAGAGATGTGAAGTGATTTAATCTTGAAAGAGAAAAGAATTTAAAATATAGGAAACAGGTTTTGGTGGTTACACCAAAAAAAAAAAAAAAAAAAAAAAAAAAAATTTTTTTTTTTTCCTCATTTTGGAAAAATTCTTCAAAAACTGATTGAAAAAAAATTTGCAACTAATAAACAAGTATTTTTGCTCAGTCTGTGTTTGGGATTATCCGCTTCCAAAAACTCAACAGACAGATTGTTATGGAATAGATATAAAGAAAAATATATATATATATATATATATATATATATATATATATATATATTTTATGTTTAGTTTTTTTTTTTTTTATATATATATACTATTTGTGTAATTAATTTTTGCTTTTTATTTTTTTCTTTATCAAGAAAAAAATTGTTGGGATAAAATGTTCTAATACAAATCAATATCCAGACTTATTTTCTTTTGTTTAATGTGTCTTTTTTCTTTTTTTAAGTAAAGTCATTTGTCATTGTTCACTATCTTGAGTCTAACCCATAAAAACAAATAGTACATAAGTCCAATGTCTATAGGGTTTTTCAAGATATTTTTTTGTTAAACAATCATTACAGAACTGCAATAATTAATAAATGTTGGCCAAATTGTCAAGATTCTTGTTTTAGAATGTCTGTACAGCAACAACAAAATAAAAATATTAAAAAAAACAAAAAACAAAAAAACAAAAAATACAAGTATAATTCAAAGTAGAAAAGTCTTCTACATAAAGAAAGATATTTTTCTTCCTTTCTTCTTTTTAGTTGTTGTCGTTTTTGATGGTAGGCATTACATGTCAGAGTCAGTTTGCATCTTGGTTAGCCCAACTGAGACTTTGCAATTTTTGTCTCTTCCAGATTTCAAAAAACATCATTCCTGGAAAGAAATATATAAAAACCATTTACACCTCACAAATATGTGATCATTGGTTCAGATAGATAGTATATATGTGTGGTGAGTGCAAGAGATTAGAGTGTGTATATGCATGCATGTATATATTTTACATCTGGTTATGTGAGTGTGTACTGTATGCTATCACATGATTTTGTGTATATCTTTGGCCCTTATAGACATTAAAGTCTTTGCAGATGGTATTTATTTAGTTAACAAAAGAAAAAAAAATTATCTATGAAATTCACTCTGCAAGTTACTGGTTTAAGATGTCACACACACTTTTTTTCTCTCCCCACCCCCACATCTTAAAACTAAATTCCATTGGTGTGGCTTTTGGTCAAATATAAGTTGAATCAGTTGCTATGTTGAGCAAGCAACTGGAGGATTATATCCATTTTTCATGTTTGGGTAAGCCTTCTGGCATAAATCAATAGGTGATCCATGGGAAGTATGATACCCATTTGTCATGAAGTCTACATTATCAGAGACTTCTTCATCAGGATTTGCAGGGGTATCATTGTTGCTTAAACTGAAGGATGGCGATATGTTGCCAGTTATAGACTCTGTTGATTTTACACCAGTGCCATTGCTACTGCCAATAAAAACAGTTTCATTGTTTCCTCTCTCCATTGAAATGTCTGTTGCATCATCTTGGATTATTTTCTTTTCTTCTTCTTCATCCTCTGCCATCAGATCATTGCTATTTTCAGCTTCCATGTTAAGAGCCAGTAAATTCTTCTTTGCTGCTGCAGCTACAGTAGAATTAATCCCGTCTTTCTTGGTCAAAGGGAGTGCCAGTGTTTCTTCCTGCTTCTGTTCAAAGTCCTTGCCCTTTGGTGACCTGATAAGAGGTAGGTCATTCATGACCAGATTTGCATTTCGGTCAGGCAAAATGGCTTCACTGATGTTGGCAGCGGTGGTGTTGTTTTCAATGAAATTGCGTATGTCTGCAAAATATGGTTCATCCTTTTCGTCCAGATCTGGCTCATGTACAGGGGAATCAGTAACATTTGGACCTTGGGCTTCATGTTTCTTTAGATGCCGATCCAAGTTTGTCTGCTGTCCAAAACTCTTGCCACAAATAGAACACTTAAAAGGCTTCTCTTTATTGTGGATGTTACGTACATGGCGTTGTAAATTTGAAGAGATACTAAATGACCGTTCACAGTACTTGCATTTGTATGGCTGTTCTCCTGTATGCGTCCGGAGATGCCTGGTCAGATTAGCTGAACGAGGGAAAATTTTTCCACAATACTTACAGGAGTACCTCTCTTTATATTTATTCGGACCAGTAGGATAACGGAATGCCGTCGGTGATTTTTCCATTTTGACAACAGGTGGCATGTTCTTCTCCATATCTTGATGGACCAATCCAAATGATCCCATATGAGGATAGCCAGGAGCAGACAACTGAAATCTTGTCAATGTCATGAGTGATGAAGAAAACTTGTCTTTGTCAATTGGATAGAAAGAATCAACCATGTAAGAATTCGGGAGTTGATAAGCATAATGAAGTTTAGCTTCAGTATTGGCAGCAGGCGATGTCTTAATTTCCCCAAAAATGTGCGTCTTTCTTGGTGTTTCAAATATTTTAACAGTTTCTTTGGATTTGGTACTTAAATCCAATGGTTCCTCTTCACTTCCAGATTTGCAAGAAGGGGATTCATTAATGACCGCTTTGCTTGACTTGGATAAATCAAATGGCATAGACTGAGCACTACTATGTTGGACAATGTCCATTCGGTTTCTTGAAAGTGGGCTGCATTTTCTATTCAAGTACAATGAATCCTTTTTGTCAATGTGACCAACAGATTTGCTGGCATTTGGCGATGATGAAATGACATGCTTTTTAGAAGAACTACCTTCACTTTCAATATCAGATCCTGAGCTTACATCCAAGTCACTGCCAATGCTTACTTCGGACATGTCACTGTCTGAAAGTTTAAGTTCACGCTTCACTTCTTTTGGAGCAGGCAAGTTTTCTGTCAACATAGAATTGCTTTCAAGATTTTCATGGGGTAAAAGTGCTTCTGGGGTAGGAGCAAACCCAGCTGTTGCCATTGCTGCTAATGGCTGTGTTATTACTGGAAATGGAGAGTTAAAAGGACGGTAGTAAGGGTAACGGGGTTGGGTGTACATGAAGGCCGTCATTGGTGATGTTTGAGGGATATGACCCAAACTAGCCGACACCAACTTTTCGGGAGTGTAGCAGACTCGCATAGTGTTTCTGAAAGCACCGTCACAGAATCTTTTGTGTTTCCCAAGAGAAGTTACAGTAGAGAAAACTTGGTTGCAATCCTTGCACTTTATCTGTTGTCGGCAGTCAGCATGCATACGTTTATGTCTACACAGGTTGGAGAACTGTGTGTATGCCTTTAGACACACTTCACACTGGAAAGGCTTCACACTGCTGTGAATGTGTTGGTGCTGCTTTAAGCCACTAGATGTCGCAAATGTTTTGCCACATTCAGGACAAGCATGAGACCTTGCACCAACGTGCTGGGACCTAATGTGCCTCTGCAAGTTGCTTGGATCGGTAAAGACTTTGTCACAGTTTTCACAAGGGAATCGGTTTTCGGAGTGATGTGCCTGGGGAAACAAATAAGGGAAAAATTATTAGAATTTCTTCTTGTATTCATTTAAAAGGAGTTAAAATAGAATTGTATTTTCATATCTTGGAGAATATTTTTTCTTTTTTTTTGCTTGATTTAATAATGAACAAAGATAAATTAAGTAATTAATTTTAGACTAAACTTTGATTTGCAATATGATGCAACTAATTTTTACCTCAAATGCAATAAATATATTTCATAGTTTAAAATATATATCACGTGGTGTAATGGTTAGCAAGCTTGTCTAACTAGATCAATTGCAACTGAGTAGTCTCACTGGGGACTCCATGCTTGCAGTCTGATGCCACATCTAAGTGATGCTTATTGACTGACTGATTCATTTTCTACGGTTTATCAACTTTCTGTAGGTTATTTAAAGCCTGAAATTTTTTCAGATTGTAAGAATTTTTTTTTAGAGATAATAATGATTTAGTGATACAAATCTTACTAATTAACCCATAGTTGGGGGAGAAGAGATGGATCCCTATTTTTCCTAAGAGTATTTGTGTGTAAGTGAATATAACGTGACCGAGCTGAAATTGGAAATTGTCTCTCTGATTAACAATTCCAAGCCATTATCTAAAATTATAGTCCCTGGTATTCCCAAGCAGTCCCCCATCTAGGTACTGACCACCAGTATGCATGTATGTGTGTGTGTGTGTGTGTGTGTGTGTGTGTGTGTGTGTGTGTGTGTGTAAATTTTTTTTTAAAACTTGTCAAGCATAAGGAAAAAAAAATCTTTTCTGGGTCACCCTGTTGATTTACTCAATTCCTTCTCTCACTCTCTTTCCCTCTCCCTCCCCCATGTCTCTCTTTCTCTTACCCCTAAAAAAAAAAAAACTTAAATTGAAATCTTTGTCTTTCTCCCCAATTTTTCCTTTCTCTCTTTTAATATTAAAACTTTTTTGTTTTCCCTTTTCTGTTTTTTTTCTTCTTTTTCTTTTCCTTGTGTTTGTATAAATTGAACTCCATTTATTTTTGTAAAACTGGTCTGAAGAGATGGATGTGAAGTTCACAAAATAAATTATAACCTGACCTGATGGATTTTTAAGGATTCTGTATTCATTATCATATTGTGTGTGTGTGTGTGTGTGTGTGTGTGTGTGTGAATAAAGACAAATGGAAAATCTTTTGCTATGAAACTCGTCATTCAATCAGATAAATCAACAAAATCTCAATTGACGTATTGAATACTGAAACATCAATAAAAATTAAATCAGTTCCAATTACAATTTTCTTAAATGTTTACTGAAAATGAAAATAAAAGTAATTTGTTAATTGTTGACAACAATTAAGAAATTACTTTTGACATTCATTCCATAAATAAATGTAGTTTAAAATGCAAGCATAAATGAACTTCAAAGAAAAAAAAGTAATTTTTTTTTTTTTTAAAATCAAGAAAAAGAAGATTAAAAATTAATTTTACCTGATGTCTAACCAGATCAGCTTTCCAATCGAACTTCTTAGGACATAAATTACAAATATATTCTTTATCTTCATCCATCTTTGATGACTCAACACTAAAGAATCAGGGAAAGACAAAAATAAAATTTAGAAATAAAATAATATATATAAGACAGAACAAAAACACATAATTATTATATTATATACAGAGAAAGCCACTTAATGTGGTCATTTTGGGATAGAGTCCTAGTAATAATATTAATAATAATAATTTTGTATTGATAACATTATGCAAAGGATATTAAAAAAATTAAACAGTTTGTATTTATTCTTATCAAATTCATTTTTATAAACAACTTTACACTAGAAAAATTAACATGAAGTTTGATGAAATGATCTATTTTAACACACTTTTAATAAAGTCTTTGGAAAACTGATTTTGATAAGGTTATCTATCAAATTATAAGGTGACTTCCTTTGTTTTTTTGGTAGCTATGTTCCAAAAATGTCATAGAAAAGAGATTTAGATCATTTTTACAGGAGAAGGATAGGGAGGAAGAGAGTGAGAGAGCAGAGAAAGTGAGCGCGAGAGAATATAGAAAGTGAGCGCGAGAGAATATAGAAAGTGAGCGCGAGAGAATATAGAAAGTGAGCGCGAGAGAATATAGAAAGTGAGTGCGAGAGAATATAGAAAGTGTGTGACAGAGCATAGAAAGTGAGAGAGAGAGAGAGAGCCGAGAAAGTAAGTGAACAAGAAAAAGAGAATGAAGAAAGTGAGCAAGTGAATAAGCAAAAGAGAAAATCATTACAAGACCTTAAATTTAACTAAGATATATACATCCCTCAAAATTTATTCCTATCTGTCATCTTAGTCAAATTAGGAGCCATAAAAAGAAAAGGAATTATGCACAAAAGAAGAAAACTAATTAAAATTAAATTTTCTCTTATAATTGAAGAATTGTAGTTATTACTTATGTCAGAGTAATTGCCCAAATTTAGTTGGAACATTTATGTCCAATGCAATAATCTCAATACATATAAAAACAAATGCAAAAAACACACACCTTCAAACACAAAGTTATTTTTCTGTCAAACTGAAGAAATATTTTGCTTTAAATTAGTTTTCTGTTTAGTTTTCATTTTCAGCAAAAAATGAAAAAAGATTAATCACCTAACCCCCCCCACACCCTTATGCAAATTAATTCAAACTAAACGAATAATTCCGTTATTTACTTTTTTTTAATATATTTTTCCAGTAAAATATGACCCAGCGCACATGTTAGTACTTCATATGTCCATTCCACGAAGTCGTTCCTTGAAGATTGACCAGATTCTCAATTGGATCTAAATCAGTAGAGTTTTCGAGCTAGCCTCTAGTACTTTGATTTGCTCACTGATAAGGCTTGCCAGTGTGTTTGTGCAACATTACAGTTTTTATTCACTTCCTTGGAGTAACATCCACTGCAGACAATGGCTATAGTACAACTAATTGATAGCTGAGACAATAGTGTCTGGGTGTGATGAAAATCTGATGCAATCACAGATGACGCAATATTTTTCAAGGCCAAACAAATTTCGTTATACACCCCAAAAACAGATTCATATTACTGCACACCTCTGCAAATGACCTAATACGAGGAATAATATAAGTTGATTACATCCAGTTACTCCATTGGGCCTAAAACTCACGGTATGGTGAAAGAAAGGAAACTAAAGTGGTTGTTTCAATTAAGTTGCACAAGGGTGTAAGGGTGTAGTGCTGTAAATGGAAAATGCATCTGAAGTACATACATCACTAATGGATATAAAAAGTATATAAAACACACACACACATTATATATATATATATATATATATAAATATATATATATGGGAGGTGAGATATGTCTTGAATCAGCAAATCATTTATGTATTCCAATGAACATGAGGCCAAAAATGAGATAACCATTACCCCATTTTCAAGTATGCAGCTATCACCTAATTCTCAAACCCACAGTATTATACAAAGTTTAATAAAATGAAATTATTTTTGTGATAATTTCTATGAATACTCATAACATATCTTAAAACAATAGATACTATTATTTATTAATTATTTGTTATAAGTGAGATATGGCAAAATATGTTATTATCGTACAAATAGACAGGGATACAGAGTAGACATAAAGAGTTTTTAAAGAATTTGACCAATTGCTTTGAATAGCACAAGTTGTTAACAGGAAAATGTAGCAGTCAACAGTTTTCCAGATAACAAAAAGTCTTGAGAAGAAATAACATGACCATTTAAACCAAGCTTTACTAAAAAATATATTTCTGAAACCACCATTGGCAGCTGCTGTGACATGTCACAGCTTTCCCTTATTAGATACAGAACTAAAATACATGAACTTTCTTCCCTTGTTTTTCTTTTTCAGAGAGAATTATTTGAGAACAATTCTTTCTCAGCCAGATTCATAAATATGGCTACTATAGATATTAATAAACATGGTTTTCATTTTGCTTATGCAAAGAGAGTTTTTCCTTCTCATTGAATAAACCTTTTGAAGATTAATGAATGGATCTGTTGGAATGTAAGCTTACAAAGAAGAGTTTTAATTATCTCTACTATAAAAGGTATATTACTGATTTCTTCAAAATTATGGACAACAGATTGAAGTTACTGTTTTTCTTTTATACCTGTTTTATTTATGGCATGATATTCAAAATAACACAAATATACAATCATTCATATACATAGTTCAAAATTGCAGAGTCTGTCTATATTTCTGAGATGAAGTATTATGTGCAGTATTTACATTAGTCGGACTATTGTCCTCATCTTTGTCGCCATGTTGTTGTTTGACTGTTGTACGCTCCGACCTTCTTCAGGTGGTTGGAACAGTCTACCCCAGAGAGCAAAATAAAGGGTTCAGTTCAAAATTCCAACCACCTGAAGAAGGCCAGAGCATACAACAGTTTCTAAACGTTGTGACAAATATGATGACAAAGATGAGGACAATAGTCCGACTAATGTAAATACTGTTCAAAATTGCAATATTGCTTTTCATAAGAAAAAATTATTATTTACTCTACAGCCACACTTCCACAAATGCTATGTCGTAAGCCTATCACTAATCTATCATTATTGGCATGGCTTATGTTAAGATGATCTCCATTCTTTTGTTTCACCAGTTCACTAAGACTCTCCATACTATGTTCTTGAAGTCAAATCACCCACATTTCCTCCATATTCCATTTGTAAGAAAGAAGTCCCTCCCAGACAGCACCCCACAGAAGAACTGATACTTTGTGGAACATCCACCCACATGGATTTTTCCCTGAACATTACAATCTTAACCTTTTCAAGTCAATGGTCATTCATTATCATCCTCTACCATGAGTGGCTCTTGGGCCTTGTATATGATGGACGTTAATATAAAATTTAAAAAAAAAAAAATAATCAAAGTTACATGTACACAAGTTCAAAATTTTACATATATGCATTTTTAAAAATCTCTGCAAGCAAATGCCACACAATACAACTGATTTTTTGCTGTTTTTTTTTTCTTTTCATCTAAGGTTAGAATATTCCCTAATAGCTGTTTGGTGAGCAACACTTATAGGAACAAACTCAAACAAAAAAAAAAAATTACAAAAACCAAAAAAAAATAAATAAATAAATAAAAATAAATCAAAAACATTACCAACAAAAAAAAAATTAAGAAAAGAAATTTGTCTCAGAAAAGAAAGAAATCAATTTCAACAAAATATAAATAAAAGAAAGAATATAAACACGCAGACAAAATAAATAATGCCTAAAAACGGAATCTACTAAGCAAATAATTGTAAAGTTGCAATAAAATCTTGCATTGAAATTTTTTCTACGAGTTCTACCATCAATTTTATAGATTTAAAGAGAAACTCTACCAAACCTTCATCTTTTGTGAATGTTATTTAACTATTTTTTTTTATGTATCAGATTTCATTATACAAGTCAATGTTTTCATAGTAAATATGGTAATTAACCAACTGATATTGGTAAAAATTTCACAATATATTTACATTATCATGCAATGTGAACATGTAATGGTTTGGTTTGTTTTGTTTTACAGCATATCAAGCTCAGTGGGTCATTTAATGCCGACAATTTCCTTTTTTTTCTGGTGATATTTTTGTTTTGTCAAAAACCTATTTCTGCTAATATTTTTTTCCTCAAAAATGTAGAGTTGGTAATATTATTTTTTCAAAAAACATATAGCTGGTAATATTATTTTTTCAAAAAACGTATAGCTGCTAATATTTTTTTTGTTTTTTTTTTCTTCAAAAATTTATTTCTGGTAATAATTTTTTACAATATACTTCTGGTATTAAAAACTATTTTTACACTTTTATAATGCTTTTTACCTCAGTTTCAGCATTAACTATTTGCCCATAGCTGGGACCCTAACAGGTGCTACCACCCCGGGTCAGCGTGGACCTAGGAAAACCAGCAATTAAGAGGGGGTTTCACGCTCCACAAAGCCTCCTGATGAGAGGCCTTGCTGTTGGATGTAATTTATCGTCTTAACCTGGACATAGATGTAGTTTATCATCATACCCAAGATGCTGTGAATGTGTGAGTTTCAGCTTATAATCATTACCCAATTAGAAATATTGGTAATAACTTATTGGTAATAACTTATTGGTAATAACTTATTGGTAATAACTTATTGGTAATAACTTATATTGGAAGTATCAGATTTCATTATGGAAAAAAATGTAACTGAGTTTTACTTGTAAATGAATTCAAAAGATATAAAGCCATAAAACAATATAATATTCTGTATACCTGAATAAATTAAGATATTCTTATGTTATTTTTTCTCAAATTTCTGTGAAATTCTTAAAAAAAGGTTTTTGTTTTTATCTTGACAAAGTTTTTAATTTTTTTTTTGTTCTGTTCAGCTTTCACAGATTCTAATGTTGTCCCCCCATGAAACAATAACTTTACATTATCTTGTATTATAATATCTATTCTTACCAAAAATATTGGCATGTCTAGAGGTTGTCAGATTTTAATGCAAAGTTCAAAATAGATACTAAATCAAGATTAATAGTAAATTTTTTAGTTGACTGAAAAAA